GCCCCGAACTGAGGTCAGCTACCGGATGAATGGCATATGGTGAGGTATGACCTACCTCCCAACCTTGCGCAGAAACTGCGGCCAGCATTTCCTCCCAAGTTATGTGTCGCGACTGCGCTTGGTCGGAATTTGCTGATATTCTTCGTCACTGATGCATGCACGCCGTTTCAACTTGGGGTCTGTGGATGTTGGGGGTCATGGTGTGTAGGTTTGGGCTTCGGAACTCAAGCCCACCGCGGTTGAGCCTGTCGTAGTTTTGCGTGCTGAGGTCCTATGTGCAAAGGAGCAGGCATCACCAGCTCTGCAAGTTGTGAGCAAGTTGCCGCAGTTGCAATTCCTGATTCGGGTCATTCATCAGTAAGACTTATTTCTGCCAGGAGGCTCTGGACCGACTTTATTTCTCACAGAACGCACTGATGGCAACTGGGCCGCCAGAGGATTCATCTTGGCTGGAGTTGGCTTGGTTTAGGGTGCACAGTCCATACAATTAAATGACTGCAGGTAAGCATTACTGACAGCAGAGATGAAAGCCCAACTAAATTCCGAACTTGAACCCCCCAAGGCCCCAAGGCCTTAATTTCAGCTGCAGAAACACGCCTGCTTGAGTCCGTTCAAACCAGGTCTTGGGTCTCGCGCGCAGCAGCTGCTTCACACGCTGGCCTTGGCTTCCTTCCTCCACATGGATTTCGGCGGCGTGGTGCCGACGCCCGGAAAAACCTTGGGCTTGAGGGTTTGGCAGTTGGTGTTGTAGAATTAGATGATAATTCAAGGACTTTTTGAGGTATATTAATTGCATCTCATGCTTCGAGTATGATCTCTGCCAGTCCTGTTCTTAGCGTTGTGCCCCATCTGAGGGATCCTAAACCCCGGGGTTTTACACCCCAACACCCACCCTGAACCCAGGTCGAAGGATGAGACACCTCATGGTGTCAACGCGGCAGGTGCACTAAGCAAGCTGCTGGGGTTCGAGGTTTCCAAGCTCTTGGCCTGACTAGATTTACGGTTCTTTGTGTTTGGTATGCAGGGCATTCTGCCGGGCTTGTGCCTTGGGGCGCATTGTGCCCGGATTTTCAAAGTTCTCTTCATCTGACAGTGGTCGGTACGAGCTTCTGTGAGGTCGGCGCGTTTTACTTTGCTTGGAGGAGCAGGGAGCGTGGTGGCATTGCAAGATGAGAGGCTAAAGGAATCGCAGTGTGCCCCGAGGCTGAAAGTTGGTGCGGACGCCGAGTTTGACGTTTGCTTTTACAGCTGCCCAGCATCAGCATAACTTGATTGGTTACTGATTGTCGTTTCTTGGCTTCTGGTGTGGGGTTTAGGTTTCCTGCTGTGCAAGACATCACGTCAGTGCCCTTGATCTGTTCAAGAACACCGACCCATCGTTTACAGATCTGCTCCGTGAAGAAGCCCGTGCTTGGCCCTTTCGATCGAACAGACCCCGGAGCGCAACTGGCCGTGTGCTTCCGTAAACTCAGCCTGTGCGGATACGAAGCCCGACAAGGCTTTCCGGATTTCCTGACGGAGACTTTGCAGCGCCGCTGCTTGCAGTGGCCATCGCATTCGAGCATGATGGTGGATGGCTTACGACCCGAAGCACTATTCATGTTTGCTGTGTCTGCAGTCCTTGGTTGCGCGGGTGTGTGACGGTCGTTGCAGGTGGCGTCGTATGACGTATTGCATGCGCTTCCGGTCTCGAGACTTGGGGCAGACGTACAATTTCATTGCATGTTCAGTGGAGGTTTTGGTTCCCTGATCGAGCATATTACTCACGCCCTTCATGGGGGGTGGTTGCAACATCTCGAGTCACAGTCTCATTTTGTAAAGTGTTGTTTGTCGCTTGCGAGGCAGGTTTTTGTGGAAATTGCGAACATCAACAGATGGAGTGCCCGAAGCATTTTCGGTTGATGTGGCATGAATGCAAGAACAATCCAAATCGGAGGAATTGGGAATCGGGCTTCTTGGCTCAGCTCCGACAGCAGACGCCGTTGCGCGACTGGCGGCTCAGACACTTCCAAAAAGGGGGTCGCCCCAAGGCAAGGTGCACTGTCCGTCCTTGCTTGGTGTTCCACCCTTGCGTGGTGTGTCTGTGTGTGTGTGTGCGCGAGGTTCTCATGCAGGCTTCGAGGCTTATCACGTATCACCAAGAGTTGACTTCAAATTCCAGTTCACGAGTGCTTCAGGGTTAGCGCTCAGGGCCTCTGGTGTTGAGGCTGGTATAGGGCCTCGAAGGGCTCGGTGCTGGAAGAGCTTGTGTGTTAAGCGAAACCCGAAATTCCAAACGTAGCCCTTGGAAGTGAAGTCTGAAGGATGTTTGTTGCAGCAGGTGGTAATGCATGTTCGACGTGGAGATGTGGTTGGCCGCGGGAGTCTCGTCAGCTGTCCATTTCACATGAGACGCTGAGGTACGTCAAAGAAGCTCACCACAAATTGTTGAGATTCTTGCTCAGAGCCGTGATCTGGAAGCCATCCGGTTACATGCCACTCAGGAACAATCTCAGAAACTTTCCGGATGTCGTCCACTTCCGCTTGGTAGAGCAGATTCGCCGGGATTTGCCTCAGGCGTGGCATGCGCTTCGTATTGGGCTCATGGATTCCAGTTTCGGGTTATGCCCCTCGACCTTCATCGCGCCCGCCAGAGGCTGAGGTCCACGTATTCAGCACCACCAAGGAGGCTCAAGGTCCTGTGGACTTCGCTGGCTACGAGGCGATGATAGCGTTTGGGATGTAAGGTTATGGGTTGACGGTTGAGGCCTCTGGTTCTTCCACATGTTGGATGTCAGGTTGACAAGTAAGTGAAGTACAAAGAGTTGGAGCTACATCAGGGGGTTGTTCCCATGCAGATTTCCTTTTCGGCGAGGTTAGGCTTTATCCATCGAGGAGGCTTTATTGATGTGGATTAGATGTTATGACGGCACTGGCACGGATTGTTATCCCTTCCACATGATTCTGACAGAGACCAGACAGTGTGCGCATGCTCATGAAGGTGGTGTGCTTATCCGAACTATCTTCTTCACACGATGGTTGGTACCACTCCGGTTGCCATAGTCGCCATAATCATGTGCCTATCGGTGTATTGGTGCTTGGCAATCATGCGTGCAAGATTCGGAGAGGCGCGGGGAATGATTGTGCATCTGGACGGCGAGGAGGTTGACGACTGGGCACACATGGCGTGGCCTGGTGTCAACAAGTCTTTCTGTGTGCATTTCATCCAAGCGGAGCTTCAACCCTAGACCCCCAAGCAAGAAGCCTCCATCTAAGATTTCGTTTGATTCTCGAAAGACACTGCCACTAAAGGCAAGCTGACATCCTCGTCATGGCTCCCAGTGCTTTTTCTTGGGTTGCAGCACTACTCAACGAGAAGTGCCTTGTCGTTCTGGGGGTGTGCGGGCTCACTGTTCATGCGATTCATGCAAGCTGTTGTCTTTCTCGGATTTACGGGGGATTGTTAACGACTGTGGCAAAATTGGCCCTAGACCCCAAACCCTGCTCAGGTGTGTTCTAGCCTTCCGTGGCACGGAAGCTCTGCCCGATTGGATCGTACATACGGGCACCTTGCACGATGAGCAACATGCTCAGCTCAGACGGTGCATAGACGACCGCATCTTAATGCAGACCTGACGGGATGAAACATGATGTTTGATATGTCTGGTGCAGTGACAGCCTCTATTCCGTGCAACGAATCACTAGAATCACTAGAATTTCTCCTGCAATACACTGTAGCATTGTGATCTATAAATTTGGCAGAGTTTTGCGGGACCCTGAACCTTAAACCTGCTTTCCTGCATTTTTGTGTTTGCCGAAAGGCCGCCAAGGGTCCACTAAGCAGTTTTTCGTTGCTCTTTACTGGCTTCTTTGAGCAATCTTGCACGCTTCCTGTTGCTAGATTTGTTGCTGCATTTGCTGCGTCGATCACCACTGCAAGTATTAAGTACTACCTTCTTGATCGTGGTTACATGGATCGGCGCAGTTTGTTTGGTGCAGTATTATCATTACACCTAGAGCTAGAGCTATGTTCAGAACCATCCATTCTGTTTTGGTCAGCAGCACGCGTGCTTTGTAACTCCCGGTAACACTAGCAGTGGGATTGGTTTTGTTATGTCATCATAGCACGCAGATACGCAGAGTTATACAAACGGCGATGCCCATACTGACAGCAATCGAATTTGCAACAGTTCCCGGGGCGGTAGCAGCAGTAGTCGTAGTCGTGGCAGCGGCAGTGGCGGTGGGGGTCGTAGTGCTTGTCGGTGGCAGAGTCCTGGGCCTAGTCGTCGCAGTCGCAGTCGCAGTAGCAGTCGCAGCAACAGGAGGAGCCGCAGCAGCAGTGGTATATAGTTGATAATTTAATCGTGATAGTCGTAACTCCACTCACGCAGGGTTCTTTTAGGTAGGTCCAGCCACCCAGCCTCTTGTCGTTTTGCCATTTGTTAGGACTGTTAGGATTGTTAGGAGCGAGAGTTTAGGAGTGCGATTCTGCGCTTTATAATTGCTGAGACTGCTGTGTCTGTCCTTGGCTCTAGAGCAGCAAAGGCACCCCAAACCCTGTAAGCCCTCCAGCACCTACAGCACGCATCTCCGAATTCGTAAATGCTTGGCCTTGTAATCTTTGTCCCTCGGCCCCCAAAGCCGGCCCCAAGCCCTTTTCTCTGTGAAGCTACGTGGCTGTATGTTAAACCCAGAAAGTTGGGACATGGGTTGTGCATATTCGACCTTGAGGGCATGGGGCAGTATGTCTTCACGTTCCGATTGATCGGAAACTCAGAGATTGATAGCTGCAACCTCACTAAAGACCCAAGAGCAAAGCCCTATTGCGCAACCTTGAATCTTCAACACCAAGAACAACCCTACATAATGGCCTTGCTGCAACCCGAAACCTCAGAGCCTTAAGCTTGAAAATGACCTTATGCCTCGGCCCCGAACCCTACACGCTGAGCCCGAGCCCTTCCAACTCCTAAGTTGAACAGGTCCCCAGTCTTAAGCCTTAAAGCGTTGAGATCCTGTGCTTCATGGCCCGCTTTTGCAGCTCGCGGCAGGTGGGCTTAACATGTCGGTGGCTCTCAGATTTAGGGCTTGGGTTTAAGGTCGTAGGGGTCAGAGCAGGAGAGTTGCCAGCCCGGTTATGCTATGGTAACTCTGGTTGTTAGTTCGACTTTATTGTGTTGACTGCTGTTATCTGCTATTACAGTTTGCCAGGATGATGTTGGCCCATCCGATGCCGGAATTCTCACGAAGCAGATTATTGGGTTTAGGAGTCTGGCATGACATGTTTACAGGTTGGCCCTTGGAATGTCTGCGGCTCGTGTTTACCGCTCAGGTTTGCCAGATTTCGTTTTTGGAGCTTGCTTGTCCTGGAACTTCCCCAAGTCTTCGAATGCCTTGCTTGTGCCTGTAAGCGGAGCATCTCAGAGCACAAGGGTGCTTCGTACATAGGCTTATGGATGGGTTGTAGTCTAGTGTATATTACCTGCATGTGCCTCAGCATCGCTTCTCTTCAATCGATGCTCCAACTTTGGGAGTTTACAGCAAAGGCGAAACACTTACTTTCTCATAGTCTCACACACACAACTAAAGTTACCGATTTTGGGCGTATTCGAAGTTTCCTTGCAATTCTGAGTTGTGTCAATGGTAAGGTAGCATGGCCTATAGTTGCAAATAACCCAAACTAGGGTGCAACAATTTGTGTCGTTGTTTAGTAAGCACCAGCTCTGAAGGTGACGCCAAACCCCGATAGCCCACAAATGCTTCATCCTCAGAGTTTGGAGTATTGAATCTGGATTTAGACGTGCTGATCCTCGAGACTGACTTACCCGAAGACTCGTAAATCTCGGGGGCAACGCCCTCAAGCCTTACCATCTCAACTGAGAAGCCTTTAGTCTTGAAAGCGTCTGCGCCAGTCTGTAGGTCTCCCGCCTGGCCGCAGAGGAGTGCCAGGCGCGGACGGCCAAACTTACGGCACGGGGCGGCGAGCAATGCAGCAAGTCCGTGTCACCTCTTGTCAAGCTTCCAAGCCACCCATGTCCCTTTTCCCTGGAGCCCTAGTGGCCCGAGATGGGCCTGAACATTTTGGAGAACAAGCTACCATTGAATCCTTATACACTGCCAGTTCAAGCTTTAGGGTCTGTGGCTGTTGGGGTTTGGGTTTCAGGGTTCACGGTTTGGTCAAACAGTCAAGCATGCATCAGTCAGCGTCAGCCTTCAGATCTTGTGCTTGCCAATAAGATGATTTCCTATCTGGTTTGCCAGGGTGTCAGTCGAACTTGACGAAAACTTCGAACAGTTGGCAATCAGTTCATTCAGCCATTTTGCTGCCATGACAAACACAACTCTCAGCAGCATTCACGCAACGGCGAGCGAACCGCGCCGCTTGAGACAACAGTCAAACATTGTTTTGCAAAAGCGTCAAGTAATTCCTTTGTACTGCCACAATGGGGGACAAACATGTGCAAAGAAACAAAACGAGCTTTAGCATGGGTTGGAGGAAGGAGTCGCTTTCAGATGTCCAGAAAGCCGTGAACACGACACCTAGAACTGCTTGACAGTTCGAGAGCTTAATCTTCAGAACGGGGGACCCTGGGAGTGCGCATCTGCCGTGATTTATGCGCCAGTCTTTCGAAAAAACAAAAAAACAAAACTACAAAAAAAACAAAAAAAACCAAAGATCTGACACTCTCGGCCATGGACACCTCAGTCCAGGAGTCTCTGATGATTGTTTTTTTTGGTTTCTTTGTTTTTTTTGTTTTTTTTTTGTTTTTTGATTTTTTCGAAAGACTCGCGCGTAAATCACGGCAGATGCTCACTCCCAGGGACATAACGTAGCATGGCCAACGTATACGACGAAATACCACACTTGCACATCAGCACTTTTTGTTCTCAGGATGATGAGAAGCTTTGTTGGTATGCGAGGCGCATCAAAACTACAGCGACGTCACCTTGAGTGCAGACTTCATATCGTACACACACAAGCAAACACTACATAGTTCTATATGGATTGCTATTTGGGTATCCCTGCTTGACTTCATATAGAGACTTATATACAATAAGATAAACATATAATCAAGGTTATGAACATCGACAATAACGAACCAGTATCGTAATAACGAACATGAGATTAAAGATAAAATTTCTATTAGTATCCAATTACGGTATCTAAAATTAGCAAATAATTTTCTTATACAATAACGTTATAGTAAAAAAAATTATACAAACAAATGAAATAGGCTAGGTTCATTATTATGCCTTCGTCATTCTTGTAGGCTACTCGGCGCCTTCGTGATATAGCGATCAATTATCTGTCGAACTCCGCTTGTTTTACAGTAACTACCATTTTTAGTGTTAATACGAGGACTATTGAATGGGTCTCTGAAATATATAGGTAGATACCGATTCGTCGATACTTTTTGTGATTATTTTGCTAACAAAACAAAGATGAAGTGTATAGTACTGGTGATTATATTGTTGTAAATTGGTATAGTTATTCAATCTTATGTCAATCTCAAAGAGGCTCTTCTTAGTATACTAGAAAACTTGGATGTGTATAGATACCTGTGCGTGGGAAATATGTATGTATGCATGTGTACTATATATATATATATATAGAGGTATATATACGTGAATATGTATGAGTACCTATTTTTGAAATGCATGTGTAAACTGTGTTGATAGAAAAAATAAAATACTAGTACTGTTTTATGCGAAACCTTGTTTTCTTTCGTAAGTAAAAACTGAAGGCAACATTAGTGAATCTAGCTTATTTCATTTTTTTGTGTAATTATATATTTGTTTATCATAACGCTATTGTATAAGAAAATTATTTGCTAATTTTAAATACTGTAATTGGATACTAATAGAAGTTTTATCTTTAATCTCATGTTCGTTATTACGATACTGGTTCGTTATTGTCGATTTTCATAATCTTGATTATATGTTATCTTATTGTTTATAAATGTCTATATGAAGTCCATTATTTGGAAGACCCAGGCTTTCCTAAATGGTGCATATCTATATATTGTATTGGCCAACAACTTTATAAGCTTAAAGAACATATTATGCTTGTATGTTAAATTATATTTCGTTCTTGTTAGAGGATTTGTTCATTGATTTATATATTTAGCTTGTCCAGATATCAATATGCTTTCTATATTTCGATTATTCTTCTGAATATGACTATAAAAAAATATGATAAATACATGTATGTGCCACTTTACAACGCATTTGTTGCTGGTAATCCAATATGCTTTCTATATGCCGATTATTCTTGTGAGTATGACTATAATTAAAATATGATAAATACATGTATGTGCCACTTTACAACGCAATTATTGCTGGTAATCTATAGAATATCGGTTTGGTGTGTATTGAAAAGTTTCGTATATGTAGTGCTATTGTTGTCTATATTTGGATTGAATATTCGGTTGTTATGTTAAAATGTATTGATAAGAGTATTAATGCAAAAGGCATGGTTGGTGATAATAATAGGAATATAATCAAAACAATATCATTTATAGATCAGAAGTTTGTACTACATCTAGAAGCATGCTCCACACACAGATATGTGTATGTAACTATGTATGAACAGTGAAAAGTCAACATTTGTCGATTAATGTAGGGCACTTTATATAATAATATGTATATATATATATATATATCCATATATATATACACATGCCGAGCTCTCTCTATTATGCACAATGTCACACATACATATGAGGGTATATATACATATATATATATATATATATCCGTATTTGTATATGGATATATATATATATAGACATATAAATATACATGTATCCGTATATCTTTATTCTGCATATATATATCTATGCGCATGATAGCCTCATCGAATGTAAGTGCGCCATCCCGCCCTCCAAGTTCACGAAGCAAACCCGGTATATGATCACCACGAAACTCCGACATGGCTTCAGAGATACGAAACGAGAAAACCAAGAAAGACTGTTTGAGCTTCCGTGGCAACGATATAACAGTTTGCGAACGAGAAAGAAAGAATGTCGGTTGTGTACTCATACCTTGGTATACATGTGTGTGAAAAAAATTTAATGAATGCTCGTTTAAGTATGTGTGCGTGTGCCTGTATCCTATTCTCGCAGGTGGTTCATTAGGTGGCTCGACAATGCGATACTTAGATTTTGTGGAAAAAGGTGCACTCCCACAGCCCCCCGGACTCCAAATCTTGCACTAAGAAAGGCTTTCAGCGCATTCGTCTAGAAGTTTTCACGTAAAACTTGTTGCGGGTATCATCTCTTGCAGTGTTGAATCTGCACAAACTTGAAGACGGAAGGCCTACTGTGTACTGCAGGACGACGACAGTGGAAGTGAGGCTGATCAAGATGATTCGCTGTCCGTCTGTCTCGAGTGGATCAGCTTGCACTTTCGGGCTTCGGGCTGCTATGGGCTGCTCAAGATTTATGGCTATGGGCTAGGAGCTCCAGGATTCAAAGTGTTTTTTAGCAGTGTGTTGTGGGTTCTTAGGATTGTGAGGGCAGGGTCTGGCACCCTCGGTGTATTCTGCAAGCAATAAAGGGCGATCTTACCAGCAGTACCATAACGGTTCTTAATCGGAGCTTCAGAAAACACGTGTATCCAAAAAGCACTGACCACCGACCCTTGCACCTTCAACCGTGGACACCAAGCCCGATTTGCTGAAATACTGCATCGACTCAGGATTTCGGGCAAACGGTCTGTAGGAACTGGGGGTTTTGGCAGATGGAGCCTGTTGTTTTTCGGGGGGAGTCTCGCGAGCAGTCCTAACGGCTCATAGCCTCCAAACCACCAGGCCATGCCTTCAATGCTCTTCACATCTACAAATAGATCCAGAGGTTTTTTAGTGATGGCTCGCAGTGTACTTTCAACGCTAGTTTTCTTCTTGTCGTTGGGTCAACTTCTATTCCCTCGAGCCCTCGGCCTCAAAGCCCTCAACAGATTTGGTATAGCCTGTCAACACCCAGACTGTGAAATCCTGAACCGTCACAACCCCAAAGCTGTTCAACGCCCCCGAACCTTCCAGCCTTAAGTGTTACAGCCTCAGCAAGAACCCTTCAATTCAAACCTTCGTGGCTTGTCATGAGTGTCTAAGTCTAAGGACCTGTGCGTTGTTGCAATCCGAGAGCGACGGAAGTGGGGAGGAGGCCACAGCTTATTCAGGCTTTGAACAAGCCCTTCCAAGACTGCCTTGTGCAGCTGTTGGCACCCCCTTGAGTCCAGGTTCCAATGCCCAAAGGGTCCTGAGCCCAGGTCTTGAGGGTTTAGGCATGTTCTAGCGGCTTTAGGGCTTCTGGTTTAGGATTTTGTAGCTTTAGGTCTCTTGAGGCTGAAGGGTTTCGGGCTGAAGGAACTTCATTCAGGGGGCGTGGTCCAAAAGAAGGTCTTGCAGAAGCTTTCCTTCCAGCGAAGGGCAGTTCATCGAGCTTAAATGGCAGACCTTGCCTCCAAAGAGAGCTCCAGGATTGCTAGCCGTTCTTTTGGTTAGACCTCAACCCCGCTGTCTAAGCTTTGACCAAGCCCACATCTTAACATCCTTCGAGGCCGGATGGGGTTAGAACTACATCTCTTGCCCATCTCCACAAACGTCTTCAAAGTACAACAATCCTCTACAACAAGCCCTGACAATTTTGGGGTTTGGCCCTGCGAGGCCAAAGAAGATCCCTCGAGCACTGTGCCAAAATGGCTCAACCGCTGTACGTGCCTGGGACTTTTCTGGTTTGGGTTTAGGAGTTCCTTGCAGGTTTAAGATGTGGGACCTAGGGCAGACAAAGCACGAAAGTAGAGCCTGGAGCCACAAGCTGAGACTTTGATCTTATATGTTTGGACTGAGGGCTCCGAGGCTACGGGGACAGCAGGGTTATGACGGTATGAGATTGATTCAGGGCAGCAATGATGTTTCGCACCTGCCTAGATCACGATGCTTGGTCGAACATGCATATACTGCATTTCGGCATATATGTGCTAGATCTGCCAGATATGCCCGAAGCCCAACCCCAACAGAGCTTCAAAGAAACTCCCACGTCCTATTCTTCGCTTAAACTGGCGTAAACCTTACTTAACCTTAGATATTCCAATCTCAACGACATAGCGCCAGGCAGTTGTTGCCTCGCAAAACCACGAAGAACTGGAGTCAGGGTTTGCGATTGATTTCACGGAGCCGAGAATGGGAACCGCTGAGTTCCATCTCAGGGTTGGCCCGAAACCGCAAGCCCCAAACTTCGATCGCAAAGCCTGTGGCCGGTTAGGGTTTATGGCTGTCCAGAACTTCGGGGGCCCCAAAGCCGCCAGCTAGAACCTGCGGAATTTGCAGTTTACGCTGCGGGCACGTTAATATTTGCTCATAATCACCAGAAAGATGGAAGTTACTTCTATCTATCTTCAGCTCTTCAAAGCATGAGCAGATCTCAGGTTCGGGGTGCCTGCGGAAGTGCAGCAGATCGTTCGGGATAAGAACGACTCGCGCGTGGGCCGAAAGCTGACAATGTTCGACACGGCTGGGCCCGCTGTGCGGCTGTCGCAGGGCAGTGCAGAGTTATGGAGTTCGCCGTCTGGTTTTCTCCAGGGTTCAGGGCAAAACCAAGAACCTTCGAAGTTCAGGATCCTTCTGAGCATCTGTGCTTGGACAAGACCATTCAAATCGAAACCTAGAATCCTAACCTCGCTGTTGAAGTCAAACAGCTCGAAGTCCACAGGCTTACAAGACCGCAAGCCCTAAACGTGGTAGCAGCGCACAGCCATGCAAGATGCCTAGCCTTCCTAAAACTCTAAGGCCCACCCTCTAGACTTGACCGAACACCCGAGGCTTGGATTTCGCTTCAGGGCCAAATCACGGTGTAGGGGTTTGGACGCGAGGTTTAACCGGGTTTTGGACAGATTTTGGATTCTTCGGGATTTAGGGTCTTTAGCTCTTTCTGGGTGGGCTGTTTCTGTGTCGTTAACAACCTGTGCTGAGGACTTTGGTCACTTGTCATTATGATTAAGCATTTTGGCATTATCATGGCAGTTCTCTTTGTTGGATTATCAGGTCTAGTTCAGCATGCTAACTTCTGAATTCTCCATTAGAACATGATGACGATGATTATGACAAGTGTTAGCATGGCTGGTCATGACATTATTTGTTTATCCTTGGTGCATGAGCGACAAATGTTGGCATCAGGGTTCTTCAGTCCAAACTCTCTTTCTAGTGTCCTAGCTAACCTGCGCCCAAGCTTGAGCGTAATGAACCAGATACTTGAGGGTAACAGCGGTTAGTAACAGCGGTGGGGACGAAAAGACTTAAGGGTTCTCACATGGTGTGAGGGTAAGATCAGCAAGCTCGAATGGCTATAGCAGCACTTGTAAACTGAGGCTATGGCCTGCCACCATTGTACACATCGTCTTCGCCGTCACCCTTCCATGGGTAGCCAGACCCTTCACGTGACTTGGCGCTGAGGTAGTCGTGACAGGTTTCGGGAAATCCTACACTTCTTTGGCGCGAGTCACCAAACTCGAAAAGAGGGCTCTGAAAGATTCGAGCAAGTCGGGATGACACTTCTCGGATTTGGGAAGGCTGTTCTTGGCTGGCAGTTCGGAGGTTGAGGAGTTAGGGTTTGGAGTCAAGGTGCTGGACCATTCACCCTAAGCCCCACCTTGTAACCCCAAGCAAGCCATGAACCGTTTCAAGCTCACCGATGTACACCCTGGACAGCAGTCTAGGCTCGAGAGTTCGGCTGTAAAGTCCAACAGTTGACTCCAAAGTGGAGCTTCAGGTTCGAGGATAAGGGCTGGAGCCTCAAGAGTTGTAGGATTGGAATTTAGGCCTGGAGACAGATCAGATGACGAGCAACATGCTGCTCATCACCGCCCCATCCACCACGAACTGAATTTCAGTCAACACATCCGCCGAGTGACAAAAGCCTCGTTGCAAGCAGGCACAATTCAGCTGTTTCCCAGTTCGTTGAACTTAGACCTTCTTATTCTATGCCCCAACCTTTCCAAACCCAAAACTCCTTGAATCATCAACGCCAAAGAAAGCCCCGCATGCCAGGCATTGTGAGACGGACGGGAAGTCAGTTTACCCAGGCCGTTTAGGGTTCAGCTACCAATTTCCTGTTTCGTTCTGGGATTGCAGGTTCGATGTCTGGCGTGTTTTTGGCATCCTGTCTGCAGACAACTGAGAGGCTATTCGCTTCGGCAGGGGGGTGGCTTTTGTGCGCAGCAGGAGGCTTTCCTGTTTATACTTCATTGTCCTGGTGTCGGGAGCATCCAGAACTGTGGTTCAAGTTTGCTTCTCAGTGACTGTGCCGATGATCCTTGAACCAGAACGCGCCATCAACCCACAGCCCTATGTTGGTTCCGCGGAGTATTTTGGTACTTTCCAGCAGAATCAGGGCCCCAGGAAGTAAGGCTGAGAGAAGATACGGTCTGGCACTCCCGTACTGATGCATGTCTGAAGTCACGTAAGTTTCGGGGCGCTGGCCCGAATATCTTTCCTGTCGTATTGCGCGCCGGCCGGCAGTGCCGCAGGCTGGCTGTGGCTGGGGTTCTTGCCCTTCGTCCTCACAATGCTGACAATCGAATGGCGCTGCTTCACCTATACTGTGGTGCCAATGCTACAGTGGATTCAGGCCTTCTTTATTGCTACCTTTCAAAAACCAGGTTCCACTGTTCAACCCTGCCCCAAACCTTATGCGTATCTTCAGCCATCCAAAGTCGAAAGATATCATCGAACCATTGCAAACGCACCACAATCATTTGCAAGCCTTTTCGAACCGTCGCTGAGCTTTCATCCCTATAAGCCTATAAGGCGCTATTGGTTTCAGAGCTTCGCCCACAGACTGAACTATGTTTGAACTGAGGGCATTCTGCAAAAAATATGACATCATTCTCAATCCCTACTGAAACCTTCAGCCGTCAAGTCTAGACCTTCCAGCTCATGTGGATGCAAAAACGTTGGTCGAGGGATTTGGGCACGAAGAAGTGCGGGTTTCAGAGCTTTGAGGGATTCTGACAGGTAGGGCATCGAGCTTCAAGTTTGGAGTTGCAGGTTTTCGGCTCGAAGTTTTGAGCTGAAGCCGGCAGCGTGTAGTAGAAGTGGGTCTGATCCCGTCATAGCTTGACCTTGGCTTGCAAACCCGACAAGGCCCGAACACCAAACCATCCGGCAGTCGTCGTCGTCGGCACAACAGTAGTAAGTAGTCGTAGAAGAAGCAGAGCTAGTGGTAGTCGTGGTGGTGGTAGTGGTGGTAGTCGTAGTGTGGCTGTGGTGCTGCTGGTGGTGGTGGTGTTGCTTGTAGCAGTAGTAGTCGTAGTAGTAGTCGTAGTAGTAGTAGTAGTAGTAGTAGTAGTAGTACTAGTAGTAGTCGTAGTCGTCGTCGTAGTAGTAGTAGTAGTAGTAGTGGTAGTAGTTAGTAGTAGTAGTAGTAGTAGTAGTAGTAGTAGTAGTAGTAGTAGTAGTAGTAGTAGCAGTAGTAGTCACAGTAGTGGAAAGGGAAGTGGTCGTGCTAGTAGTAGTAGTAGTTAGTAGTAGTAGTAGTAGTAGTAGTAGTAGTAGTAGTAGTAGTAGTAGTAGTAGTAGTAGTAGTAGTAGTAATAGTAATAGTAGCAGTAGTAGTAGCTTTTTGTAGCTTTGGTCGCAGCAGTCGTCGAGACTACCCAGCGGCGAAAGTGACTAGAGCAAGGCTTTGCCCCGGCGCGGTAGCGCACAGCATATGCTGTCTCAGGCACACTTCTTGTTCCCGCCCCTAGAGGCCAATAAGCAGAACAAGTCACACGTCATGCGAAGCTTCACGACGATCAACTCTTTCATACATAAGTAAATAGACATTTGAAGCACGCTCAGAGCTCAACTTTGACCCCTGTACAGCTGTCCGCTCATCGTCACATCTCCAATGTACCGTTTCCTGCACCAGAGTGCTCACGTAGTGCCCTGACTGTGGGTGCATTCCGAAGTGGGTAATGTATGCAGTTAAGTGATACTGCACAATACGAGAGTGGAACTCGCAGTGTTTCCCCAACATCAACAGCCTCCAATCGTTTCGAGATGCGCCCTCGAACATTGGCAAATCGATCAACTTGTAGAAGGAGGACTGAGGGAGCCACCGTAAGAGCTGAAACCCCATCGTGATGCATCCAATGATCCATGAGCCTTTGCACATTGAGATCTGCAGCGAGTCCCGGTGGAAGTTCTGGCATGTACAATTGAAGAGGCTGAGTGGTGAGCCCCATCTCAATGGCACTGGGTGCCCCATCCAAGTTTTTCCGTGTTTCCCACTGACTTTGAAACAAAGCAATCTCATGCGTGGTGATAATGTACGCCGCAAACTCAACCACATCGTGCTGCCTCTGAACATCAGTCCATCCACGGAGCAGGATCCTCCACAAGAAGTTGTTCATCAGGTTGTATGGTTCGCTCGTGGTACGGGTGCTAAGGCCATTAAGAAACTGAGCACATCGCCCCATTGAGGCGAGCCGAACAGGTTCGCGATGAAGAAGCCAGCAGAGAGCCTGGACAAATGAATTGAAGTAGCAATGGTTGGCAGGATTTCTGAGACGAAGCCTCAGCGGCCACGCAGCATTTCTTTGATCTTCTCCACCAGAGGGCTGCACTTCAATGTGTACCGTCTGTACGCCATTCCGCCCAGTTGCAGAACCGAACATCCCTGAAGCATATGCATGGTTTTCCAAGCTTCCATTGCTGCCGGCGTGCGGACTGAAATATCCATGAGGAAGGTTGCTTGATTCGCCATCGTTTCGGTAACCTTTCTCGTGCACGAGAACCTTGTGACCGTGTCCTGGTCCAAGGAGGTGTACAGCAGCTTGAGGGCCTGGAGCACCTGTTGATCTGTCAAGGGATTCCTGTTGGGATCGGCTTCGAGGTGGCGTAGAGAGGGGTTCCATCGTTGGTATCGCCATCCTGTGGCGGGGTCTCGCCATCCCATTTCGGCCGCCTTCTTCTGCAGGGATTCGTCTGTCAGGACTTTGTTGACACGGACTTCCATTTCCCGAAAAAGTGCTATAGCCATTACTGTGCGCAATGGTTGATGTCCCGGGGCCCACATCGGGTTTTCCTGTTGCTTCTGTTTGAAGGCCTTGGCCGTCACGTAGAGGTGGTGAAGGATACCGTATTCCCCTGGGCGTAGCCACATCACTATCGAATGATCTTGCTTTAGCACTTTCAGCTCCTCCTCCTGGCGGACCACAGCCCGCGCCAAAGAAAGAACTAATGGATCTGCTCGGCCCAACTGTCCTGACGGCCGAAATGGCCTGTCTGGATGCTCCGGCTTCCTTCTTTTGTTCGTCGCTTGGCCCTCGGTCTTCACTTCCCCAAAAAAGTCCTCCAGCTCGTCGAATGCCGGCACCGGCTCCGCGCTCCTCTTGCCACAACAGACAAATGATTGAGCCTTGCCATGCAACTGTGCATTGCTTCAAGTGTGCACGCCAGTCCTTTGCCCGAACATGACAAAAATGACAGGTTGGGCACGCAGTGGCAACACGGATAACTTGTTGCTCTATCTGACTCTTAAACCGATCAAGAACATCAGCATGCGAATACTGATAGTGTCGCTTGACAGTGCGATGCGATGCAATCCACTGTCCGCACAGGGCACATGTTTGCTTGAGCGATTGGAGAATGTCTGGAAGCTGCAGAAGTGCATTCAGCCCGCGTTGGGATGCTTCACGAACCTGGGGTCGACTGATAATGACATCATCAGTACTGAGAGAAGGATGTCGAGGATGCGACGGCTCAGGTGGAGATGGTGCAGGTTGAGGAGGCATAGGGCATAGCAGGTTCGTCACAGGCAGCTCCATAGGGGCCTTCTTCATCCTGTGGTGTGGCAACTGCAGTTCCCGACTTAGGCAGTTCAACGGTCGTGGTAGTAGATATGGAGCCTGCCTCTCGTGGTGGAGACACTTCTGGGAGAGCATCTTGAAGAGCTGCTTTCGGACACCTTCTTTTGGCAATGTGGTCCGCCAGAGTTTGCCACCTACTGAACTTTTTCTCACAGAAGCGACAGATCGGAAGGCCTCGGATTGAATGCAGAGCCCTGTCAAACGTGACCTGCTCATCCACAATGCCGTGCATACGCCTGGCATGCCATTTGAGAGCAGATTGTGTATTGAAGATACTGTCACAAGCCGGACACGCCCAGGTGGCCGTCTCTGTGTCCTGGGAGGAGGTTGATACAGTTTGCTGAAGCCGACTTTGAAGATGCACTTGCCAATCTGCCTCGTACATCCAATCTTCATGTTGTTCTTGTGCCGCTCCAGCACGATGCAGCTCTGCTTGCAACAGATCTGCCGCTAAGGGAATGTGGTATCTGCGTATGATCACTTCGTGCTTGTCCCCCGTAAGATGCGCCTGATTCGAAATGATGGCCCGGACGTGTTTCATGATGACCCGCTGGACATCCTCCACTTGTCCTCCTGTGAGTCCACATGTGCTCAAACCGTACAGAAGTGTGGAGAGAACACTGCTTTGCCATATGCGTAACTTAAGCTTGATCGAGATCCTGCGAGAGTGCAGGAAGGAGGCCAGTGCCCACCGCCGCCCATTGGCCTTCGTGATGCGATGGCGCATTGTTTGGAGCTCAAACTGCTGATATGACACGATCGCGCCTAGGTATTCCGTACTCTGCACCAAGGCCAGCCACTTGTCTGGGTTCCTGGGGGAGAGCAGCAGACGATGCCCAGTATTTGTTTTCCGCATGTGTTTGAGGGTGCCCACCATCTTGAGGATAGCCTTGCTTTTCTCAAGGTTGATCTTCATGTGAAATTTGCGAAAGCAAGCAAACACTTGGCAGACTTCTTGCATGATGGCCTCGAACTGCTCAAAGGACTGAAACCGCCACCGTAGGTGCGAATCGTCCGCATACTTTGTCAAGTGATCCTTCACCCATTCACCTCCAAGGTGCGAGTTGATGTTGACACACAGAAGAGCTGTATATGCGGCCCACAAACAAGGAGAGGCTTTGCAGCCTTGTCTCAGTCCCCACTTGGGGATAACAACACCTTGCTTGCCTCGATGACGAAACAAGTAGCGAACTTGTCGGAGCCACTGAAGGATCACCTCCTGGACAAGAAGATTGACACCGGCAAGATCAAGCGATTCCTTGAGGTGGTCCCAATGGACAACATCAAACGCGGCACTGAGATCGACACTGATCTGGAGGCCGCCAGAGCAGCCCACCGGGGCAGCTCCAGCATGTTGGTCGTGTATGGTTCTGCGAGCTTTTGAACATTCTTCACGTACACAATGACAGTGCCGAAACACTTTCCGAAGTGCAGTGTGTGTGCTCCGTCCTGGAAGATAAGCACATTGCGGGTACTGCCGTACCAGCTGGACAATGGCATCACGGGCCTGTGCTACAACAAGTCCCATAACACATTTCCCCAAAGGATCCTGGAGACCAATTGGTCTCCAGTCTAGTGGTGTGGCAGATCTGCCATGAGCCTTGGGCAACAGAGCCACTTCAGCATCCGCCCAGTCCTGGTCCACCTGTGGATTTTCCTGTGCCCAGGTTTCGTTGAAGTGATCGGCCACCGGTTCTGCAATGATGCTGCTACAGGCCTTGAAGACCACTGCAGGTGCAGTACATCTCGGAACCGCCTTCCGTGGATTCAGTCT